AAGGTGAGCTGAACGGTCGGGTGTCCCCAGCTTGAGCCTCAGCCCTCCGGGGCACCTGACACCTGCCTGCTCTTCCTGCCGCCCCACTGAGCTGTGCTTCCAGGGTGGAGTTCAAAGACCGCAGCATTTGCTGCTGGGCTTTGGCAATAACTCCGGGAAGAGGATCCTGAGACAGGGACTCATACCAGCCTGCTCCGACATCCGGGCAAGTGATTAAGGGGCTGGGGCCTGGGGCCAGATTTCCTGGGTTCAAATCCCAGCTCTGTCACTTCTGTGTGTCCTCAAACTTCAGCTTCCTCATCTGTAAAATGGGGACACTACAGTTTCCACACAATAGGGCTGCTCTAAGGTTGAACAAGCTAACAGATGTGTGGTGCTGAGACTGCTCCAGAGCCTGGAATGTACCCAACGCTGTGTGAGTGTGACCGATGACCACTGTTGCCATTGCTGGTCCTACTGTGTGTTCCTAACTGGCTGACTCCACTTTGCCTGCCAGGGTACAGAGGACAACTGCACATCCCCACAAGCCTTAGTGCAGATGGGACAGTGAGCAGCCTCTGGCCCAGGACGATCGTCTCCAGTCCTTCCAACGAGGTCCTGGCTCCTGGCCCTCTCTGGACTCCCAGGCTTGGGTGAGGCCAGCTGCAGCCTCTAGCACTGTGTCCTCCTCGACTGGGGATGCGTAGAAACATCTCTCTGCCCCTCAAACTGGAGTCAGCCTTCAGGCCTCCACGGGGCTGGGGAATGTCAGTCACCCCAGGTGCACACAGCTGGCCACTCATCCACCGCCCCAAGGTGGGAAGCCTCCAGGGGGCAGGCCCTACCTTCATGGTGAATCCTGATTGGTCCGTGATGGTCTCATTCCCTGTGCCAGCCATAGGCTGAGATGTGTTCATGTGACCTAGTTCCGACCAATAAAAGGTGAAGTCTGTGCAGGGCTGGGCCGGGGATGCCCCTTTTCCAGGCTGAGTTTCCTCCTGAGGGCCCAAGTCTCCTGGAGCTGCCAATACACAGGGATCGACACTGCTAGGCTGACGGCCAAGTAGGAAGGCAGAAAGATCCGGGTCCTGATGACATCATCAAGCCTTGAAGTTAACCAACCTTGAAACAGCCCAAATCTTATCACACGGGTTTAAGAAGTAGGGGTTTAAGAAGTGAGGCCATGTTTTTTTGTTATTTTGTTATTCACAGGTCAAAGCATCCTTGCTAACAGTCCCCAGTTACCTTTCACCTTCCAGAGATGAGGCCACTACAGCACTCTGGGAAGGCTTCCTGGAGGAGGGGATGCTCAAGAGGAATCTGAAAGGATGAGCAGGTGAACAGAGGGGGGAAGACCCCAGGTGAAGAGGAAGTGGCTGGACCAAAGGGCTGAAGGCTGGAGATGCCAGAAGGCTGTGGGGGACCCCAGAGATCATCCGTGTTCTGGGGGTCCTGAGAGATGCAAGTGGGGGTCAGGGACTGTCGGCCCTGGCCACGGGAACTTGTAAGGGCAGAGGAAGTGCTCTGTGGGTGGCCTCGCCCTCCAGCTTCGGGCCAACAACAGGTGCGCTGAGCTCTGTCCTTCTGACCCACGCCAGCCACACCCAGAGGCTGCTCAAGTGTCCGTGGCAGAGCCGGGCAGGGTCACCAGGTTTGCCTCCTGCCAGGTGTGCTCTGCTTGCCAGGTCCCTTCCAGCCCCTGGGGCGCTCATCAGAGACTCCGGCAAATACGCGGCTGAAATCTGGGTCACTCTGTGCGTGGGTCGGAAATCCATCACTCAGACAGTCGCTAAGTGCCTACAAAATGGTATGCTTAGGGCATCGGAGATGGGCCCGGTTCAAATCCCCAGCCCGTGGCTTCCTATCCATGTGACCTTGAGTGGGCCACTGCATTCTTGCAAGCCTGGTGTCTCACCTTGGTGCAATGCATGGCGGGGTCGGGCAGCTCTTCTCCTCCCTGGTACCACCGTGGGGGGAGGGGAGGAGCGGAGAGCACGATGCCTAAGAACTTCCAGGGATGAAGGTTTATAGCCCAGGAGGGATGAGAAACAAGCACTTGATATGCTGTTCAGGGACAGAGCTGGGAGGGAGCATCTCAGACCATCCCTAAGGAAGCGGGAGATCTAGACGGGACGGGCTAAGGGACACGTATTTCTGCCAAAGACAAGAGGCCGGCTGGGAGGAAGTGCAGGAAGGTTTCAGTTCTGGGCTCCTACAGCTTTCTAGGGAGGGGGCATCATTTGCAACTGGGAACAGCAAAACCTCTGGTCACTTATTACGTGCCCCTGAATGAGCCACTTAACCTTTGAGCCCCGGCTCCTTCTTTGCAAAGCCAGTAAAACACCTAGAAGACACCACAGGGGGCCAGTGACTAAGTCTGCTGGGGGAGGAGGAGAGTGGGGGATGGGGAAGTTTTGGGGTGATATTACTAGGCCTGGGGGCTGCAGTGGAATTCACTGGAATGGGGGGGGTACCAGCAAGAGATGAAAAAGATAGGCATAGCAATGTGACGGGAAAGAAGGTAAACTGGGGGTCACCGGAGTCTTTCCTGCGGCTAGGCTAAAGACAGGGATTTAGGATGCAGGTTCCCCACGTCCTGAATGCCGTGTCAAGGGCTTGACCCTACAGAGCGACGGACACATCTGAAAGCGGCAGCCGGGGGACTCGCCGGGAATGCTGCACTCCCCTGGGGTAAACAGGTTGGGGGGCCGCATCTGGAAGGCAGGTACTGCAGGCAGCGTCAAGGAGAACCAGAAGTCCTCCCTCCACAGGTGATTTCTGCAAACAGCTTCGGTAATAGATTGGCACCTCGGTGCCGCTTTCACACCTGCTAGAAGCCACTGCCCACCTCCGGGCAGTCTGTGAAAAGCAGCCTACTTCCATTTCACATGGACATGGCAACAGCCAGAGGAGGGCCACTGGCCTTAGCCGCCCGGGCAACGAGAGGGCTGGTCACAACCTGAGCCACAGCCCGGGCCCTGCCTGGGCTTGGGTTGCTTGTAGCAGCAGGTCCTCCGTCATTGACAAACGTGCACAGAAGCTGGAGACAGGGAGATGCCCTTTGACCTCTGAGTCATCTCGAGTCCAAAGGGAGGACAGGGACCCAAGGAGGGGTGGGTTTTGCTGTGGTCACAGGAGCCAGCAGGGCTCACGCACCCAGAGCCAGGTCTATGGATGAGTCCTCCAAACTGGACCTGGGATATGCCCAGGGGTTGCTGGAAGTCCTTCCACCAAGGGCAAGGGCAGAGGGAGCCATCTTTTGCTGTTTTTCCAAGAAGACCCCCAGAGCCCCCTCCTTCCAGCACCCAGGCCCCGGGCATAGCTGCAGCCTGAGTCATCATGCACATCTGAATGGTAGCTGTCGGGGCTGAACAAGGGCCAGGGGTTGGAAAAACAAGGCCGTTCTGTGAACCTCCAGCCCTGGTCCTCCGAGACTGGTAAGGGGGCGGGGGGTGGGCCGAGGGCAGGTAGACAGGTAGACGCAAGACCTAACTCAAGGTGTCAACAGCCAAAGGGGGCTTTGTGTGCTGGGGTGAGGGGGAGCGGCTCAGAATCCCTGCTGTCGGCTTTTGTTTTCAAATGACCTGTTTAATGATTACCTTTTGCAATCACAGGAGCCTGGGCTCCAAGAAGGTTAGAGTTCCAAACCTCCAGACCCCAGACCCCGGAGAGAAGGAGGAAGAGGAGGAGGAGGAGCAGCAGGAGCAGCAGCAGCAGCCCAGCCTGAGAAGAAAGTAAACAAGACACCCACCACCGGCAGGTCTGGCTGCCTGGAGCAAACAATGGCCGGGACTGAGCTCCCAGCTCAGACACATCAAAGTGAGATTTCCAAGCAAGAACTTTAACAGGCAAATAACAGATTTGGATGGAATTGCTTCCCTGAGTACCCTGAGTTCTGCACAGAAGGGGACAGCCCGGGAGTGGGGGCTGTCATTTTCACTTAACCTTGACCTGTAATACATTCATTTATTCCGCAAGGAGTGGGAATCACTTTCACCTCCACCTCCCCGCCCCGAAAAAAAAAAACTCCACCAAGTAACAACTTCACCATCCATTTTAACAGTCACAATGGTAGGCATCAAGGGACTTAAGTTACAGCAGCTACCTGCACTCAATTGCCCAGTGGGCTCAAGCTCCTTAAAAAAACAAAACCCTAACACAAACACCTACCAGGGCTCACAAAGTCAAATCTTTACCCAGCACTGAGAAAAATTTAAGTTTTTTTTTTTTTTTTTTTCTATCTTCCTTTTACCTTCCACGGCCTTCAACTATTTTTCCTTCTGCATCCAAGCCCAACAAGGAGGCAGATCCATAAACAAGCCTGCCCCTCCCCTTCCATGGTTCGGCAGCCCCCTCCCCAGCTTCCCTGGACCCCAAGAGAAAGAATCGCGGGCGACCCAGGCCCCGCAGCCCCCTGCCTGCCCTCCCCCACAGCCGCAACCCTCGCAGGCACCTTGAGATAAACATCTACTAATGGTTTTATAATTTTTTTGCTCTGGGTGGCCGCGCTCGCTGGCTTGGATGAATCCCTCCCTTTTGGCCGTGGCGACCTGGGTGGGGGGTGGGGGGGACAACTGAGAGATGGGGGAGGATGAGGGGTGTTAGTTTGTTTTTTCCATTGCAGCTTCCCCACACCTGTTTTTCATTCATTCGTTCGTTCGTTCGTTCGTTCGTTCATTCATTCATTCATTCATTCATTCACGGATTCGTCACTGCGGTCGCCCGGGGCCTGGGGATCTCGGGGAGGGGACCGAGATGGGTGTGTGTGTGTGTGTGTACGTGTGTCTGTGTGTGAAGGGGAGGCGGTGACAGCGGCGGGCTGGGGGGTCAGGGCGTAGGGACCCCCGCGGGAGGGCAGAGGGGGTGGCCCTGTCGAGGGCCGGCGCTCCCCGGGGCCGAAGTTGTTTTCGCGGCGCGGTGACGAGGACAGCCGCCCCGGGGTGCGCCTCTTTGTCTGTCCCCGGCCGGGCGCCGCGTCGCGGGTCCCCCCTCCCACCCCAACCCCCAGCGCGCTCGCTCACCTGGTCTTGGAGGACAGGAAGGCAAGTTTGATGAGGCCGTAGGTGAAGAGCGGGATACTCTCCTTGGCGACGCTGGCAACTTGCAGCCGATGCTCCAGGATGTGGAGTTCCATCGTCCGCCCGCGCTCCGCGGCGGCTCATCGGCGGGGGGCGACCCGTGGCCCCCCGTGCTCC